TACTAAAAAAAGAAGAAAACACTGTTACCTGAAGTTAGAACATGGAAAAATAATAATTATAAAAAATACACTAATTGTCTGGTTGAATATAAAAATTATATTTGTCTTTTAACGCCTTATTAAAATCACATATGCAATGATCTGTTGGAATATACCATTATGAATGAAAATGCCATAATGAAAAATGCCCAATGTCTGGGAAGTAGTAGTCAAGCTTATTATACCTCTCTAGTCACAAAGAATGCATTTTTGTAACAAAAGTATACAGGAAAGAACTTTGCCGGTGTTCGTGCAACTCGATTATAACTTATATTTCAAAGCACACACGCACACACACATAGACGATTCATGCCCCCCTCCCCCCCCCCCCCGGGTGGGCACGTGTCTTTTGACAGCAGCCCTTGCTGCAGATAGAAGGTAGCAGAAACCCCCTGCTACATTGTATACGGTATGTTGGAAATCTTTATAAGTAATTATATTTGGTAAATAAAATACATAATTCAAAATCCCTTCGATTGAAATGCCTTTTTGACCGAGATATAACAGGTAGTGTTATTTCTTTGTTGTTTTGTTTTTCACCAAAAACCATGCACAGCCTTTATAAATTGCCTTCATTTATCAGGACTTGAATTGAACTACCTAACAAGAACAATGATCCTTTAATCGAAACCAATTGTCAATTTCTCCGTCATTGAACAATAACAAAACGGATGCTCGCAAAAAGAACTCCAATCAAAATCAAATATTGGCGTATTTCCACTTTCTCTGCGATTGATGATCAAATGAACGACCATTTATTACCTCTCTCACATTCCAAACTTAATCGGTATCCTTGGCCAACAATCTGTTCTGACCTGTTTTCAATATAAACTAATATTGAGTGACAACCCCGAGTAATATCAAGTGCAGTACCCTATCGCAGTATCATTTTCAATCTGAGAGCTTTCATCCTGGATGATTGGCATTTACTGCACTGTATAGTTGCCGTATCAGATTTAAAATTTCTTATAAGAAAAATAAGCAATACGATTGTCTTTTTGATGAGAAGCAACGCGTTGGTTTTGCATATGTCATCTATCTTCCTTGACTTGCATGCACTAAACACAAAAACAATCGTTCTATGATAGAATATATAAATTGTGGTTTGATCATTTCAAACGGAGCGCATCAATCGATCATAATATTGTTGTCAGTTGTGAGGAAATCCTGATCTCATTAGGTGCCATTACACCTGGCTTTGTTATTATATAAAATAATCTAGACAGTAGGATGGTTCACACCTTAATTCCCACTAATTTGGGGTCAATTTTTCAGACAGGTCAATTTCTAAGGTCACTTTTCTTCGTGTTATTCAGTGTTTATGTTTATAATATGTCATACACGACAAGATGCGTCAGTGTTTATGTAGATCGTATGTAATACACGACAAGTACAAAGTAAATGTTTTAAAACGAAGCAAATCTTGATGTCAACTCCACATGGTGGGCATGTAGAGAGAGCGGTATAAGACGTGGGGTGGCGATATTCTTTTCTTGCGGATTTTGATGGCGCTCTTGAGGTTAAGGCCCAGTGTCATTAATTGTAACATTAATTCAACTTGAAAAACTGAGGTCTTTCTGGATGTTTTTTGTCGTTCCACACACTGCTCTGTGTCACCTTTGGCGCCATTTTGTGTCCCACTCACCCTCCCTCTTCCCCAAAACAACACGTGGTCTCGAATGACGACAAATTATTTAATTAACGACAATTAAATGTTCAAGCGTGGCACATTGAAGTAGCAATTAACCCCGTCTCTTATCGCCATCTTGAGTGCACCTGCATGACCTCAAATGACGCATTATTTCAATTAATGACGGTGTAATGCTTTTAACATGTATGCTGAACGCTGAGAATGGCTTTCAATCACAAATTTTGTTGTTATCTTGAAAGGAAAATATATAATAAAAACAAAAAAGCAGTTGCGAGTATTAAATTTTTGCAATGGTGATTGTGTTGATTTCCCAGTGCATATGCTCTGATTTTTGTATTTTCAGGCACTAATTTTTCCGGTGACATACATGTAGCTAGGACACCAATAACCGGTAAATTGGGGGGGGGGGGTTGGAGGGGGGAGTCTACCACCTAGGCCAAAACCAAACAAATTTTCAGTCCCGATGAAGTTGAATATTCACCCTGTACCGAGATCCGCCAGTGAGCAAGATTTTGAATCGATTTTGTCCTCAATTTCCTACAGTCATTGTGACATTTTCGCATCTGTGGTTGATTTGTGTATTGTACGTCTTCTGCAGTCAGTGAGCAGATTATGCAAGCTGACAGAAAACCTTGACAGTGTCGCACATTTGTCTATGTAAAATATCCTTTCTTAAGATACTGCAACCTCGAGTTTATTTGAATGTTCACACACACACACACACACACACACACACATACACAACACACACACACACACACACACACATACATACACACACACACACACATACATACACACACACATACACATACATACACAGACACAACAAACACACACACAAACACACACATACATACACAAATACACACACACATACACACACANCACATACACACACACACATACATACACATACACACAGACACACACAGCAAGGGTTAAAGGAAAAAACAGTTTAGTCGGTGGTTAGTTGACGCTATTCATGTTACAGGCATCGGTCGATAAACATTTACATTGAAGTCCTTTTGTGTAATGCAGAGAGACTATGACATAAAAGACTGATAATGTCTTCTAAGATTTGCATATCATGTCATTTTCAAGGTACTTTTATATGGAGGTGAAGACGGATAAGAGATGACCATGTCACTGGCGTTTGATAAAAGTGCATTGCCTTGTTTTTAGGATTGAAACAGAAAACATTTATTTCTCTCTCTCTCTCTCTCTCTCTCTCTCTCTCTCGTGTGTGTGTGTGTGTGTGCGTGTGTGTGTGTGTGTGTGTTTTCATTAATAATCCATTGCAGATTCAAATATATATCAGCAAAGGGCAGATAATTGCTGGCGACTTTTATTTCATAGAACGTAATTGCTTTTGCTGTGCTCTCAACAAGCGCAATGCTGGCATTTTAGTCTTTCTACTACAACGACGAAAACATCGATTATCTTTTTTATTTCATTATACTGATATTTTGTTTATTTATTAACTTACTCAAACAGATGCAAGGGCTGACAGAAAAATACCAAACTACTTTCGGGTAGATTGAAAGAGAACTTTTCCTATATATAAATATATGGCACGACATCACGTTTTAGTTCTCAAACGAAGGCAAAACAAATGAAACACGCACCCCAATGTCTGACAAAAAAAAATCTCCAATTAGCGTCCAATCATGTTGAAGTTTTCAACACCATTTTCTTTTTCACTTTTTCAAAAATTTCCTTAAGTATTTCGTTAGAAGCTAATATCTCTTCTACGCTGTCTATCCCCTCTCCTCCGCCTTTCTCTCTCTCCCTCTCTCTCTCCCTCTCTCTCTCTCTCTCTCTCTCTCTGACTGCATTACCCCAGGGAATGCGCGCCGTGGTAGGGAGCAAGCAGAAGGGAGGCAAGGGAACATCGCCTTGCTGGGTCAGGAGTCGGAGCCGTCGTCGTGACCCCTTTGATTCCAGACAATGGGAGTTCGGTCGGGTTCCCGTGCAACCCCCGTCTAGGCGGATAGATTACAAATAAACTCCGAATCTGTTACAATTGAATGCTTTATTGAACAGTGAAAACAACAAAATACGTGTCGTAACAAAGCGCTTACAATATCTTTCTGCGGCGTTAATATACATTACCAACTGCTTCAGTTCACGAATCTTATTAGCCGGCAAGACGGCGTAAGCTGGCACACGCTTGATTTACCAGTATGAAATGAAGAGTATTTTTTAACTTCACACCTAAAACAGTACAGGCGGAAATTTTGCTTTTCTTACTCAGCTGCACACCTGCAAACATTTAACTTATATTAATCTGACTCCATTCATAGAATATTGATGAAAAAACATCTGTGGGTTTGGGTTTGGCAAAGCTGTGAAAGTAAACGTATGTGGTCGGTGCCGTCTATGCTTCAGAGGGCAGCAAAACACGAAAACCAGTGAACTAGAATTTTGAAGAAGGGGGCACCCTTAAATCAGAAAAACTATGATTCATGGCTATATTCATAATCACAGTTGATAACAGGAAGCCGGTGGACTAGAAAATAAATGAAGGCAGACACGCTAAAGAAAAAGATTTACGGTATTTTTCTAAATACAGTTACGAGTAGAGTTGAGCATCGACACTCCCTCTTGCTTTATGATAAACAGTAGTCCGCACTGCATCCGAGGACGGCGAAAATATGCTCAGTTCTGGGTACGTTACTCCGACATAGTTGACCATACCTCTATTGACAAAGCTCTATTGAGTCACAAATACAGTTTTAGAATCGTATCACAAGATACGTATACTTGTAAGCAATTATTTGACGACTAGCGTAAAATGTCTTTTTTCAGTCCTTATTTAATTACCAATTTTTAAGGGAAATTAAGAGAAAAATTCATTAATTTTTTTTAAACAAAAATATTTTTATATACAAAAAATTATTAAACTGTTAATCATAATGTTAATAAAAAATATTTTAAAAATCCATTTTGTTGCAGAAAGAAAAAATCGAGGTTAATAATTTTTATGGATTTTGAAAAAATATATGGAAGTTAGTCATCACGAACAGACAAATCAGTTGTGACTTAAACCCGGGGAAAGTGCAGTTGGAACTGACATCAGTTAGTGACAAACGGATGGAACGAGAATTCTTATTTCCTTATAAAAATATTTAGTTGATCAGTCAGAATCAATATCTATTGCTATTTGTGTTTCATCGTTCTTTTTAATCTTTTTTTTTTTTTTTTTTTTTTTGAATTTTTAAATTGATGTTAAAACATCTAAAATAATGCATTCACGTATCTCTCTTGGAGATAAAGATTATAACGACAAAAATTGTACATTAAAATTTAATATTTTGAAAAAATATGAAGGCGATACAATGGTGAAACAATAGGAGCAAATATATAGATTTTTGTCTCAGCTATTTTCAATTAATATTGTAATATTCCCAAGCAATGCACTGCGGTTCTTATTATAAATTAGCAAAGCTTAAATTCAACATGACAAATAAAATATAGCACAATACAATATATTTGAATGTCTTCCAAGACACATGGCAATTTCAGACAAAAATTAATTCCAAGAACATATTTTAGACGGATTCACTAGCTTCACATTTTATTACAAAATAAAAATTTCAAGCAAATATACACCTTTTGTCTTCCGAACTCGGATATATATTTTTATTTCAAAAAAAAAAAAAAAAAAAAAAAATCTAGTGTGTTCGCATACAGGACCAATAAATCGATAGCGATTCTGTCAAGTGACGCCATAACTCGGTCTGTTGAATTTAAAGTGAACGGCAGCAGTCTCAGTCATTGGGACATCGATCGTCTGCACGCTCCGCGAGATTCTATATAGAATCAAAAGCGGGGCGCTCAGAGTAAAGAAACGCGACCAAAGACCTCTGCAGATAATATGCGATTTATACGCCGGTTATCATTTGAGAGGAAGACCGCGTTCTTGATTCATTTAACCCTGATCATATCCCGTAGACAAGCCGGCGGCAAAACGCAAATCTTAGCCAAGTGTAAACTTTCGTGAAAGGCTTGCCCTTTTATCTGTGTCCTAGTGAGCTTACGGCAGATTGGTCGGCGAGTCCCATTATAATCTATAGATTTAGCCCGGGGGGTTATGGAAATAATATTGATCTTTTTTTTTTCAACTATATTTTAAAGAATTAAAAAATGACTTTGTACCTTTAACCAGTCACTTCATTGCTTTTATTTAGGGTGGGATTGGCAGGGCCCACTTTTCTACAGGAAGGTTTCTTTACAATTACAACGGCAAAGGCAATCATCATTTTTTGTTCCTTTTTGTCACTCACTTTTGTCTTCCCTTTTATCAAAAAGTACATAGCATGTGATAAAAAATATTATTTTGGAGAAACAGTTACAACACGATTGGATTTTTAATGAAACCAAACAAATACAAAATAAGTTTGCACTTTCCACAAGAATTTAAAAAAAACTTCGGGAATAACACTTCTTTCCCAGACTGTGTTCTTTTTATACACGCTTCATAATACGCCTTCAGAGGATTAACAGGGTTTTACTTCGACCTTCGATTATGAAATAATCCAGTTCGAACCGAGAAAGACAAGTCATGACGTCATCACTCCGGAGTATTACATACATCATAACAATAGCATTCTTAACAAAACCTATGGTGTTTAACAACAAAGTTCACTGAACAGACGCCTGCGTTCTTCAGTTTAAGCCCTAGCATCCTTCCTCTCCCTGAGGCCGGCGTCATTACCTCCCTTACATTTCCAACGAGCTGTGGATTAAATTAATGCGTCCATGGCCGTAATGTTAGTAGTGCCTGCGGGGAAGGCACCAACTTGAACTTTTTCATTAGAGAGAGCAATCAGGAGGACGCAACGGGGCTGAAACTAAAAGAACGCAGCGCATTACGTTACTCTTGTGTAACTCAAGCCCATAAAGCATAAAGCAAGGAGAAAGCATATGTTTCACAAAATCAACAATACGTAACAAATCTAAACATTACTCATAGGGTAAACTAAAAGAGAAATAATTTAGGAGAATGGGGGGAAAAAATGCCGGTTGCGGGCGGTTGTTATTGATGTCTTTCTCCGAGGGCATATTTTTTCCACATGATGTCTTCAAGGCAGACTGCACAGAAGGAGACGGTACCTAAGCAGTCTCTATCCGTCGTCCCATCTTCGGGCAAAATAACTCAGGCAATGGCAATATATATATGTATGAGGACTATAACATAAGATTTTATATCGCGTACGCCGTCACTTTTTACGACTCCTCTTACGGCCTTAAGGATATTCTTTCTTAGCCCTTAGAGCACGCTCGCTGTCGAGTGCCTGGCCGGCTTTGCACCAGAGACCGTTCGTGTAAGTTATCGCTCGGGATTAATAAAGAAAAACGACATAAAACATCTACAGGCTAAATAGAAAAGAACACATATTTTTGGAACGGCTCCGCCTTGGGCAAAGTAGCAAGACTTGAGGTTTATATGATGCTGGCCTTTCTACTGTCTTCATATAAAATATGGTTCTATGTACAACTGCCCTAGGCAGCGGGAAAGGGAAAAAGAGTGAAAAAAACCTCACTTGTCATACTAATTATACAGTGTGTGAATAAATGTAGGTTTAAAATAAGCATGGGTCTTTTTTTTTTCATTTTTCTTTCGGGGTAGATTTCACTGTCAAGATTTCGACTGTCGAAGAAGTAGATATTCGCTGAATTGTTGTCCTTCAACTCCACCTCCGGTGGACGCCGTGATGTTAAACCCGTAATGGATGAGTCTCTGTAAAACTTGTAGTGAATTTAGCTTGCAGAACCCGTTCACGGGGAAACGAATCACAAATCTATTGTCCAAATTCCAGCCCGAGTTCCTTCCGTCTTCCAGGGCCGAATTCAACTCGGGGAAAATCTCATCCAGCAGCGCGCGCTCGGCGCTCAGACACACGCGCTCGCCCAATTCGGGGCTGATGTGCACGGCAACGCAGTCGCATTTCTCTTTCCGCTTCTGCCTCTCTTTGCGGTGCGTCTCCACGGCCTTGGTGAGGGGGGCGATGTCGTAGTAGCGCACCTCCTCGTGAAGCAGTTCCCACTCCGTGAAATCATCCGGCAGCACGAGCTGAGACGTGCGGAGAAAGTTCAGAACGTGTCTGAAAATTTTCCCATCCCGATCAATGAAATAGTGCTGTTTCAGGCTATCCAGGATGATGGGAATACTGCCATTAAACATTCTTCCAAGTCGGGAGTCAGGGTATCTGAAATAGAAGAAGGTGTATTCTGATGAAGTGACATTACCCCCGAGCCTTTCTCAACAGACGATACGTTTTTCCATTTGCAATTAAAGCCCGAGGAAACGATTTCTTAAGAATAGCCCTGTGTGCGTTTTCCACCGGGCTTTGTGCGTTAGGTTTTTCAGGCTCATTTTCCTATATTAGATGTTCCAGCGGTGGCATTATGTGTATTATGTTGGGTGACTTGGTTCTAAGCCAATTTCACCTTAGGGAACCGCGAAGCTCATTCGAATTAGGCAAGGTGTTTTTCTCTGAAATATGGTCTGCACTTTTACATTATTTAATTATGATAATTCTTCGTTTTCAGCCTACAGCGATGTAACGTTATAAAAGAAATTGATCTTCGGACGAAGGAAAATGTGGAGGCGCTTTGATACTTGGCGAAATAACAATCAATTTTCCTATCCCCGCTAGGCGAAAAATACTTGTTATTGTGTTTCATTTTTAAACTGAAATCGATTCGTTTAAATTTTACGTGTGGGCTAAGTCGGCGACTAAGCATCTTCTTTGCTTCGGTTCAATTTAATAAAAGACGCAATGAAGGTATAATAGAACCAATAGGTCCATCGGATTTAAAGAGGGACTCCAGTCAAGCGGCGGTATTGGGCACGAAGGGACAGGGCCGAGGGCGCTTAAACCTCGGTGGCATGGGTTGCAGAGGGGGCGTAAACAACGCAGCGCAAGAAACGTGAGAAAGCCTATGAAAAGCTCGGGTCATGGCTAGGGGGCGCAAGCTCCAGTATCCGCGTCTTTTCCAAAGCTGAATAAATAGCCGCAAGAACAGGATTACTGTGCAAACTGAAGTAATTGCGAATCTGCCATCTAGCCAGCCCGAGGCTTTTCTAATATTCATCCCATTTGGCTGGCCCGGCTGCCTTTCGGTGTTGAGCTGAACGAACGAGTAGACAAGCTTTTCAAAAAGCTTTCTGCTTTACAATACAATCTCCTCCCTCAGTTTTCAATAAGATCCAGCCACGGCTATATCGGTTTCTATTGACTTCTTTGTTATTATTACGTGCTCCGTGCAGCGAATGAAGCGCCTCGGGACACGCCAGGAATTGTTGAAATCGACTAACTGAGATCCTCTCTACCTTTTCCCCCTTCAACAACCCGATAAAATAATTGGAACTATTTTTTCTCATCGCGTCTGCTTGTTAAATAAAGTTGTTGCTAAAACTGCGCGCGGTTGCTTCATTTAAACAATCCCGGAGCTTTTGTCAAACAAACATTACCTGTGAGTTGATCATATTACGTTCGCTCTTACGGTTAATTTTGCGTCATCTATTGATGAGTTCAAGTGGAATAGAAACATTTAAATGCGATTCGAAGAGAGGGGAGAAACTGAAAAGCAATGCCAACACAACCAAATGCCGCGTTTTGCCCACTGGGCGAAGGAACCCCTTGTTTGCATTACGTGGGAGAATGCAACACTTTTAATATAAGGCAAATACGTAAAATAAACTACGCCCCTTGTAAGGTTTTCTTATGCCTCACCATCGAATCGGAATAGTTAACTCCTTAATAAAGTGTGCGGAGAAAGGGGGGGACGCGATGGAATGTGATACTGCCAATGGAAGAGAAATAGATAAACAGTGAAAAAGAGAGAGAGAGAGAGAGAGAGAGAGAGAGAGAGAGAGAGAGAGAGGGGGGGGGGGAAGGAAAGAGAGAGAGAAAAAAGGAGAGAGAAAGCAAGAGAGAGAGAAACTTCAAGGAAGGGCTCGGGAGTAACGCGTTGGTTTTTTATCAGTGTTTTATCGAAAGGTCGCGAAATTTGAGCCAGACTACGTTTCTTCTGGGTAAATTAACGGTTTGGCATGGCACTGCATTGTGATACATCTGTCAGTGTTCACTAGCCTGGGGGCCATAGATGACTCAACCCCACGGGGAAAGTTGGAATCGGAAAGGAATTATCCTGATAGGTGACCGATTGTTATCCTGGCTTCTTCGTTCACATAGTTTTTTTTAAACATTTTTTATTTCATTAGAATAATTAGTATTTCACCACATTGTAGAATTGGTTGAGCTATTCTGAACTTTCTTACATTAAGTAGATTCATTGTTGCAATTTACAAATCTCCGGCACTAACTACAATCCAAACATTAAGATTAAATTTTTTCCAGCAAAGTTTCACAATCTTAGAAGTTGATCTGCCATCGGCGCCTCTCGTTTTATTACCATTCAATTCATCTCTAAGAAGAACGTGTACGTTTCAATGATATTATTTGGACTTGAGGGGAAAAAAGGCAACAAAAACTACGGCAATCTATCAAATAACGGCGCGGATGTGGTTTCACCGCTTTAGGCAATATAAACGATTCAGAAAACAAAATTAATTTGAATTGAAATGGAATGGAACCCGGACAAACATCTGAAATTTTTGAAAATAGGAGACGTGCTTGGAGTTTTTTTTTTTCTTTAAGAGAGAGTACATTCCCAAAAAATAACATAAAATACTCAAAAGCTACATTGGTATTGGATCAGTTTCAAATACAATCAAAAATTCATTCAAAAAAAAAAAATTAACCCAACAAAATATTTTAATTAATTTGCCTCTTTCAGAAAGTGGTTGAGTCACTCCCTCCAAACACACACACACACACATACGTACTGACACACATACATACACACACGTACACACACACATACACACACATACATACATACACACCTACACACACACACACATACATAAACACTCACACACATACATACACACGTACACGTACACACACACTCACACACATACATACACACGCACACACACACACACACACACACTCTTACCAAAGGCATTAAAATTAGCCAAAACGAAATAAACCCTTAAAATAATCCTTAAAATCACATCTTATACGCTCACTGTATTTTTACAAAAATAACCTCAGTCTAACTTTTGTCAGTAACCAGAAATTAAATAAAAAAGAAGGCATTATTTTTTTTTAAATATACCAATCATTTACACACCGATCCCTTGGTTTATTTTTCAGCATTGCTGTAGACGACATCGGTTTTGTAATTCGATAAAAGAGCATCTTTAAAAAAAATAGTAAAATTCTTTAACTTACTTTGTCAGCGTTTCCAGCGATGACGTGTAGATCGACCCCCCAACGTCGATGTGGACCGGGGCCGTGTAACGCGTCGGGGTCGCGGGGCAGGGGACGCCGGAGATCTTCATATGTGGGGAGTAAAACCCAGCGCTGTGGTTGGACACGGGCGAGGGACTCCCTCCGGATAAAGCCGGCGACGGGGACGTCTTAAAAGCCGTGACGTTGGTGGCTATGATCTGGTAACCCCCCGTAACTTTCTTCTCTCCGCCGCTGTCAACTGGGGCGCTTGCCGTCGGAGAGGAGGACATGGCTGGATGGTGAAATGGAGTGGGGACCTTCAGTTTGGCGGCAGGCCTGTGTGAAAAAATAACAAGCAGAGAGGGCAATTAATGATTAAGTCGGCTAGAAGTTTTCCCTCAGGTCTGTTTTTATAAACCTAACAGGCAGACTCGAAAGAGAGTGCGGGATGCAACAAAAATTGCGTAATTTCACTTTAACCTGTAAGTCGTTAGCCGTACCTGCTTCAACCTCACATAAGAAGTTTTAAAGCACTTACATAAAGACATTGACAAGGAAAATACCATCGCTTCAAACCACTCGGGGGGAAAACAGACACAAAAAACGGGGGAATATTTACTTGGGGAAAATATCCGATACTGCCGCAGCCCCCACGTTGACTTTCAGCAACATTTAACAGTACCACGCGCGTAGTATATATACAAAGTGGATACTAGGAACATGGGGCCACTTGGCTCTGGCGGTACGTTCTTCCTTAGGGGATGGGCGTAGCCCTGCCGGTTGTTTTAACAACAGTCTCTCTGTAGTCAGTCCTCCAACCGTTACCAACTGTCTGAATTAACGAGTGATATTATCTCATGGCTGTTGATAGGGTATGCAAATCAGCCCACATGGCAGGTGCATTACAATGGCGCAGTATGCATCAGCGCTGAGCTCAGGTCTTGTTACACGCCCCCGGGGGACGTGCTGTTTGCAACCTATAATTTCCACGTGCCGCTTGGGGGACAAGTTCCCCGAGATGAGAAGAAATGGCGGCCTAAGTAGAAGAAACACTGACAGCATGGAGGGCAAACAGTTATTTACTTATTTGCTTTCACCTTGTTTTCCATTTGTTTCATCAGTTTCTCTCTCTCTCTCTCTCTCTCTCTCTCTCTCTCTCTCTCAATAAAACAATGCCGAATAAACAATACAATTTCCATATATTCCACCAATTTAATTGAGACAGTTTTTACAAAAGCTCGTGGCCAATCATTCGATAAACAATACAATGTTATCCCTGCCCCAGGGGAATCGGGCGACTAAATCAACCTAATCTCCCAGCCTTTCCACCGTGGCACTCGCTGGGTCTGAGTAGCCTGTGGATCATAATACGCTCATTATCGAGAAGAAAACATAAAATACCGGCTGTAATAGCATACATGTTGCCCCCAACCACTCCGTATCGATCCCAGTGTTAGGAGAAATGCCTCACCGCTATATGACCTTTCACTATGATAAATCTACTTCTATGGTCAATTTACTAAGACAAAGGCTGCTTAAGTCAGCCTCGGCGAGCTTTTGGTCCAATCACTGATTTACAATTTCGTCACTGTCTTCGGCACGTACTACGCGTGCTTTATGTCGCCGTGGTTTCACAGCGATTAACGTCATATGGGCAGCACGCGCATGGTAACGCCGTGTCGTTGTTCCCATTTTCGACCGTCCGCGTTCCATGCAACAGTTTGTTTTGTGCTTTACCATATTCTCAAGAAAAACAACCTCAGTAAACCACCACACATGCTGTTTATTCCGTGAAACTCAAGTGTCATTCTTTCAATAATCTGATAACACGGGTCAGAACTAACAGATATACGCAGATGAGTCTTACTACGTCTCCTCGTCTATTCTGACGGCCACGTTAACGTGGTTCACAGCGTCTACCACATCAACTCACCTTCGTACGTTACTCACAATTTAGGTGAATCACAGACGCCTAAACTCATCTCGGCTCGGGCAAGAATTTCCCTGGTTTCTCCCACTAGCTCCGCAAGCTCGTAGTCCTTCTTATTCGCTCTGCTGCCTGTAACTTACTGAACGCAATCATAATGGCGAGGCAAGGGCTTTGACTTCCGGCTCACGCCTCAGGGCAAATTAATATTTGTATTTGGCGCGGACCAGAGGATCGATTAACGTCACCTGGCGACGTCTAGCGGGAGACAGGCAAACGACGGTATACTCTTGGGATGTAAATGGGTGAGTTTTCTTGGGGAGGGGCGGCCTAATACAAATTTCGAAATAATTATGTAAATTTCTGAATGTTTTATCGTCACTTTTGACTCTCACACGTGAAAATAGATAAAGACTAAAAGGTGCTAAGTAGCTATTTATGCATTATGAATTTAATCATAATTTCATGTTATCAAATTGAAGTTGTGTTCGATCAGTGATTAGATGTCACTGATCGTCAGTTGCGCTTCAAGGTTGTATTATTATAATAGATGTCGATTTGAGCGCCACGCATGCGCAACAGGTGTGTTCAGACAGGGAATATTTTAGAACGGAAACTGGGCTAACAGAAGAAGACCTGGGTTTTGAGAAGCCATCGTAAATATAGCTAAAAAGAAATTATGAATCATCCCGGAAACTTCAGCAAATTTCCCCGTATGACCAAGCTATAGCATACTACAAGCAATAGTTGGAATTTTTTTGTGATTAAGAGAGAGAAGTATTGGCATTTCCCAGAAAATTAATATTATGCTATATAAAGGTATAACGGTTATTCTGTGCCCTTTAACTTACTTTGTAGATTCAGAATCATTATTTTAATTAGCCTCTTCAAACTAAATGCAGATTTAACGAACAAACTTTTGAATGGAAAATTCATTCGCTAAGGAAAAGTCTTAAGTCAACCCTTTTGAGGTTGCAATAGACCTCGAATGCGTGGGAGGTTTTAATTGAGGAAAATACTTGATAAATAAAGATATTGATTGCTTTTTTGGCACTTTGAAGTTTAATATCCAAAGTCCCAAAGTCAGTTTCAGTTTTCCAATTCATTAAAAGTACTAAAATCAAACGCACTTTTGAGGTCAGTCTTTCTTTCGATTTCGTTTGGTCACGCCCATATTTTTTGCCGTGTGGTTCAACAAACCTGATCTTAAAATTCCGGTATTATTTTTTCAACGAATTCATGTAAATGATGTAAACCCGGTGAGCTTAAGTCAGGTATCGTTAATCAATCATAAAAAGACAATCTTTGGTACAAATAGTTTTAAAAACTACCCCATTTGTTATTCACCTAGTTCACCCGTCCAGGTTTAGCTCCACGCCTTTTTGCATGTATAATTCCGTCATTCGTGGTTGGGGTGTGGCGAGTTGAACAGAAACTTTAAAAAAACAATATACGTCAATTGTATCACCTTCCTTAATCTTTTTTATGCTCCTACAGTTTGGTGCGAAGAAGGAAATACACCCTTTTTATTTTTCACTATTTTGCCGTTTTCCAACTCAAGTAACAGAAAGGATGGATTTGTGGCACCCTTTTGCGGAAACAAGGAAAACAAAGAAAGCAAATGAGAAGAAAAAAAGAAACTTTTGATACCTATTTCACTTGAGGTGGTTTATTGGATTTCGGATTTTACATCCCCTTTTGATATCGATCCCCACATTGGCATTATTATTTTCTGGGAAACCAACAGGGAAGGGGGAGCGGTAGTATTGAAATATGCCGCTGGCCCTGATACCGTGGACCCATCCCAACATTTGTTCTTCTAAAACTTTAATGACTTTTGCGGCGATTTTTTCATTCATCGTCATGTTACGTGAACTTAGAGATCTTCAGGCGTTCACTAGGGCGTCATTAAACACAAGGACGAACGCAATCGATGGGGTTATCATCCATGTGGGATCTGGGGCGAGTCCTTGGAGTCGTCTGGTGCTCTGAAACACTCCTTTGGGGGCCGTTCGTGGCGCCACCTTCCCTCCCAGGAAGAGACCTAGTTTTGACGCCCCCTGTGTCAGAAATGGAGGGGCGCATCCAGGATTATTTGAAGGGGGTCCGCGGACGCACCCCCCCCCCCCCTTGGGTGGGGTTCAGGGCCTTAAGGGCCTAGAAAAAATATGGTATTTTAGTGGGCAAACGTTGCCTTTTGGTACCGCTTAGAACTATGATTCAGCCAGTCAAAATTCTAATTTCAAGAGGGGTCCATTGATATGAATTTTTTCAGAAATTGAAGGGGGGTCAGGACCCCCCTAACACCCCCGCCCCCAAATCCGCCACTGGAATGGAGTCCCCCCAAAACAGTAGTCCGCTTCCCAGTACTTTGCACAAGTGATATTAAACGTCCCCGAAACTTCATCTAACTCTAACATTTACTAACCCTATGAGAGATAACGGGTAACTCAAACTCATGTTACAGATCTGGACAGCGCTCCTCTTCTATTACAGTCATACAGGACAGGGTAAGTGTGACGTCAGTGGGCCAAAATGTAGGACGTGGCCTACCTGTACAAATCAATCAGTATCGGGTACTATATTACGGGGTCTTTCATATGTTGGTTATAAACTTTAAACAAATTATTGTATGTAGCATTTTTTTCATATTTTGTACTTCTTATATATGGAAACAACCCTGTTTCAAATATGTTTGTACACGTGCGTAGAATAGTAGTAACAGCAGCGGTGGTATAGGTAGAAGATTTTTAGCTTCTTTATTGTAGTAGAATTTATTAACCTGACATGTGAAGTAAGTATACGTACAAATCACTCGGTCTCATTTTATATAGTTTTTATGAGTTTGTAGCTAGAACAAGATTACCCTGAAAAGCCTAGTGTGAAAATGGTCATACTGCAGAAAAAACGTAAATGCCAACACGGTATAAAAAATATGTATATCGTGATTAGTATTTCTTTGTCATTTATAAATTATCATTTCTTTGTAAGTAGAAGATGAAGGACAAATGGCCGACCTGGTGACTATCAAGAGCTCCCCTGCGAAATTGTGTGTCATTTAAAGGTCACTTACGGTTCTCACTCTGACCTAGAACATAATGTTTTTCCCTTTTTATGAAAAATATACTTAATCTGTTCTAGGACATTCTAAAGGACTTCCCCAAAACAGTTCTCGAACTGTTATATTCATTACAGAACAACATTAGAACTGTCAAAAAAAAAAAAAAAAATACACCAAATATTCTAGAATAGCTTGAGAACCGTAAGTGAACGTTAAATGAGACAAAATTTTCGCAGGGGATTTTCTGAGGCCCAGGCACTATCACCCTCTTCCAGGGCTGCAGCTATTATTCTTTGGACATTTTTGCTGAGGCAGAGATCAGCCATCTATTTAACCAAAGACATACCTGTGAATATCCAGTGAAACATCAATCTATGGCCCTGGTAGAGGGTACATCAACACTCGGAATCCGAGGACAGTCATTCACCCTAAAACTGGACCCAGTGTTGGACGGGCAGTCCCTGGAGTGAAGCGCCGTCCAGGCTTTATAAGCAGATTAGGCGTTTACTAACACTACCCGCAGATCTTTTAGCACTAACACTCATATTAACTACATAACCCAATTTTATAATATTTGTCAATTAACTGGATATTCGGAAAAAAGCTGGATCATCAAAGTTTCATGGCCTAGCGATTTTCTGAAGACGTTTAGACCCTCCCCGATGTTAGGCCCACAAATCATGACTTTTACTCTCAGATCAAATGTAGCGAAATAATAATAATAATAATAATAATAATAATAATAATAATAATAATAATAATAATAAACGTTCCAATAGCTTTATAAGCCCGGGGGTGATTAATCTCCAAACTGGTTTCCTCCTTTGTAATATATCAGCGATATACTGTTATATGAACTCCACGCGTTGAGAAAACTCCCCATTAGACTAATAGCTAGGTAATAGATAAATATGTGATTAATGAAGATGAAACATTGTCGGAAATAATGTCGTTGAGACATCTGGTCGTTACGAAGCCACGTGAGTTTACCTATTGTTTGCTTTAAAGTACTGTACAAGCTTTCAACTAATGTGCTCGTTTCTATCGCGCAAGTGTGCACGGGTACATACGTGCTTAGATGTAATTTATCCCATATGAAATATGTACCCAAATGCTCAGCCTTCAAAGTGCCAACAATTTGCCAACGGCAAAGTAATATCTCTACCGCCCCCAGCGCAAACTTCCAACAGACCAGCTGATGTTGGCAGCCAAGGTACCAAATCGGCGCCAGGGGCTTAAATACTCCGATTTCTTTGGCCTACGCAGCTGCGGAGCGCTCGAGGCTCTGCTGAGCCCGCGGCGCTTAACTGCTTTCTAGCGGCGCTTGCATAGAAATGTCTTTTTTCAGAGAAAAAATTGGTCTGGAAATTTACCAGTGGTAGACCACCGCCTCAAGCGTATAGCTATATTTAGGTTCAGTTCGATCTTAAGACTATCCAACTGGACGGGAATGTTCTTCAAAATCAGCTATTTCAATTTGAATGAAAAATGTAACAACCCGTGCGTTATGTAAGCGGTTTTTAACAAAGGGACATGTGGATTTAGAGGAAAGTAAACCACTTTACTCGGGCACAGCAATCCATAAAAAAGCTTAAAGGACTTCCCCACATTTGTCTTTTTTTTTACTTTGCCCGCGGCGTCTCCCAGACTGATGATCTCATGCACGGTTGTGAAAAACGTTCAAAAATGAAAACAACTGTATCATATGCTGTCTATGTGTAGAATTGCGAATTATTTATTTATTTATTTACATGTATTTCTTTGCTATAGTATACTTTTACTTGGCATAAAGTGAAATAAAGAAAAATAGAATGAAAAACCTTTTAGACTCAATGACAATTTTATTTCTAAAGATTTAGACACACTCTATACGGAATATTGCAAATAAACCCACATTGTACTTCAAATCCCAAGTCCGTAGGCAGGGGAGGGGGTTCGAGAGAACCAACCTAAAGAAAAAACCTAAAGAAAAATCCTTCTTTGCCATTTCTCAAGAAAGAGGATGGAATGATCCACTTTTTCAGATACAGAACCCCTTTGAATTTGCAGAATGTGGACCCTGTATAATGGTCCCAAGACAGACCCGCACCCCGGTCTCAACAACAGAAGACCCTGATCCCTTTATTCCATGTTGAACAATGTACAATGTAAGTTTACGTAATGGGTAATGAAAATGTTGACGATGTGCACGTGTAATTCTTGACTACAGCATATATTAGGACATTTATCGCTCTGCTACATGACGGTGCAGGTGCGCCTTGGGGCTCAATGGTCCGCGTTCACACCAGCCTTAAGATAGATCGAATCCAAATCGGTCCTAGATGACGTAGAGGCTGCCTTAGTAGACGCTTATGTACATGTGATGCTGCCCTTCGCCAAAATTACCAAGTGCGAGAGTCAATTTCGAAGATCACAATTTGACTGAATTCCCATACCTAGACCGATTTGACAGGATCGATCTATCTCAGAGGGGTTTCTCGCTTTCATTTCTTTCAGCTTAACCGGCTTAGGTCTGGCACACCTACTGAAGCTGCTAAATGATAATTAATTTCCTCCCAGCGGCTTCCGTAGGTGTGTCAGACATCTAAGCCCCTTAAGTTGATTGCAATTAAGCGACAATACCCTTGGAGGTAGATCGATCCACAGTGAGTTCGATAGGGCCTGGGAATGGTCCCTCAGAGGACATAATAATGGACTTGAATTTAATGAACGCGATTTACGCCTTAAGATCGATCTGTTAAGATTTATATTATCAAGACGCAGTGTGAACGCGACCAGTGAGTGTGCCGGGGGCCGGGTGCCCTACTCGAGTGACAAATAAGGACCCAGTCACCCAAATCACCATTATTCGCCTCAATTTGCTTTCAAAGTCTTTATGAATTTTGGCGAATTTTCTTTTCTTCTTGAGTAGAGAAATTATCGCTAATTTCACGGAGAGCCCATTGTAAAGGAGAGCTGGACTTCGATCGCCTCTAGGCACGAACGCAGAACCTCTTATATTGCTCGGCGGAAAAATCCCAGTGTAAACATACAGTCACCATTATTAGTTTCGTTCCTGAAAGAAGAAATTGCTTGCGCCTTAAGCCTTGCCTGGAGCCAAGTAGCGTTCATAAAGAGTCCTCTGCGTCACCTGCCACGTTGACACGTCTTTGGGTGTACATAAGACATACCTGTCACCCTCATTGTATCATATAAAGATTTTAGGAGACAAAAGCGTCATCAGCGTTTGGAAATATTATGTTGTTGTCCAGATCCAATAAACGTACTAATAAATACAAAATCTGGGACCAGTGCGTTGTAGTCGATCTTTTTGCCTGAAGATTGGGATACAGTTTTAGACCATCTGAAGTTTAGCATTTTTGCATTTGATAATATGTTTATGTTCGTGTATTGAATCCTGATTTTTGCTGATCAATCTGAACTTTGGTAGGTATTGGGAAAAAAATCAACAATATTTTGGAAATGAATCAATAGTATTTCTATTCCAAAGTATAAAACCAAAGTTCCTGTGAGGTCGAAAATTAATTGACATGCAGAATCAGGGGTGGATCCAAGATTATTTGAGGGGGGGTGGGGGTCCGCGGATGCGAAGCCAACCCCCCCCCCCCTCCTTGGTGTGGGGTCCGGGGCCCGCTGAAGAGTATTGGTATTTTAGAGGGCGAACGGTGTCATTTGGTACGGTTAACGACTATGAATGAGCTATCCAAAATTCTATTTTCAAGGGGGGATCCCTTTTTTTTCAGAAATCAAAGGGGGGTCAGGGTCAGGACCCCCTTGACCCTCCCCCCCCCCCTTAAATCCGCCACTGAGAATGCAAACAGGGATTTAAACTGCACGCATCTATAGTCCTGACTCAGTGTTCAGAGAGGTCGGTTCACCGTAATGTATTTCACGGTAATACTTGAGCACGGACAATTGCGATAGTCCATGACATGATTTATTTTTCACTCACAATGTCTAAATTCCGCGTAATTTATTTTCAACCTATTATTAGGGAAGCGAGGGACATGTGAGATGAGCTGTATTACACCTCAAGGAAATTTTAAATACCTCTGCCCAAAACTTGCTTTTTTAAGCAATGAAAAAGTGAAAGCACAGTAGTTGCATGTAACCACACACGAGTTCAACTGAAAACTACTGAGGAAAAAGTTGTTAAATGTGTAAGGCGTTTAGAGTGCATAATTCAATAAAACAGTAATCGATAAGTTTAGTAAATTGATGAATACGCCAGGAAAATACGTAAATTGTATTTATTTCATTTTAAAACCAGCATTGCCTATATAATGGAGAACATCATATACTATTTTGCCCTGGGAAATGTACAAATAGGAAGAAATGAAAATGGATTCATTTTCATAAATGCCACTTCATGAATCAAGATTTTAAAATATTGTTGGATTGTAAAAGTTTACAATTTATACTATGCGTGGTAAAATACCCCATGCACTTCGCAGAAGAAACAAAAGAAGTGGAAAATTAGTCATAATTTGTGACTCATTCTATACATCAGCCACGTCCTTGCCCAGGGGAAGAAAGATTGAGAACTTATTCAATCAATCAAAGGTAATCGATATGTTTGTAAGTGAGTTGTTTGAATAATTCATGAGGTACTCCCCCCCCCCCCCCCCCCGCAATCTGGTTGATTGCGCTAGAGAAGCTATACTCACGCCGCATTTAGAATCGCAACCACAGCACTTGGTCTTCCGTTGCAAAATCGCCTCGCCAAGACTATTGATAACCTTTATAATGAACGCGTTTGCTTTCATCGTATTTCTTCCACCCAATAACAACAACAAAAACAATAATGATATCTAATTAATTCACAATTAGGCCTCCTTCACAGAAGTACGTCAGTTTCATGGGCAACGGAATGTGTTGAAGCAAGCTCACAAATAATCATTTCGCTCGTTTTTGTTGAAACATATCGCATGTTGTTGCTTTTCAAAACTCCCACAACTTACTTTCAAATGCACCCAAAGATACGGGGGATTCATATTTCCTGTCAACAAAAATTAAGATGCACAATCGAAACCCAAACAACGTTATTTGAACGTGGTGAGACAATGAAATCTAAATAAATTAAATCTCCATTTCAACGTTAGAGCCACCATAAGATTTAAATTTTTCCTTATTTCAGTATTGAAACTATAAATGGATAAATCGAAATATTCACTTTGATATTACCTTCAGTGTAATCCAGGGACTCTTTTTGAAGATAAGAATTCACAAAGCGCGCAGAATGAATGTTATGGTTTCTTAAAAGAATCACAAAAAGTTTAGACTCAAACAAAGGTAATTTTATTCTCAAATAAATGCAAAATTTTGTACCCTTTTATGATCTTAAAACTGTAACCATAGTCGAAAACATACCGTGGTCAGTTCACATAGTCACACAGTGGCTTTATGGAGGGATATGTAAGATTTTGTTTAAATTGTAAACCTCTCTAAAAGTATAATTTTTGACACTGTGAATATAGTTTGTAGCTCAAATTATATCAATTTCAACAATGTTCTTATAGTTCAAGAAGCTGGGCAAAAGTTTTACCTTATTATTGCCTTGCCAGCTCTTTTACGCTATTATATTTTAATAATTTTTTTGTAATAATATCAGTTCCATTATGAAAAAATACAGAAAAAAATGTAAAACACTTGCTTCAATGTTGATTCTGTTTCATAAATAAATAAGACCCCTTTTTTAAATTTTGTTTGAAAAGTAAGATTAACCAAAGTTTACACAGATGGCACACGTTTACACTTAATGTACTGGGTATAAGTGTCCAAAAAACGAGACAAAATACTGTTTTTTTTACCCACATCAATCACATATTAAATTTTTAAAAGAACACATTTGCCAGCCATACCAGGCATCTTATAAATGCTAATGCAGAAAAAAAACAAAAAACAAAAAAAAAAAAAAAAACGCTGTACTGTAGCAAAGTATACAAATTTCGTGTGTCACAGTTGATCATCCTAGCGCACACAAAGCAAGTGGTCTGTGATACAGTAAGCTTACAGCCTTATTTTATTATTGAAATATAAAGTCCCCAAATTGGGACCTAAAATGAACGTCCTAAGACAAATTAGTTTGTAATGATGCCTATAATGTGTATGTTTTTGGTGACACAAAGCTTGCGAAAGGATCCGAATGTGATTGTTGAACTGATCATGACAGTGTCAACATGGGTGTCAGGATGACCAAATGACTGTAATGGTGAACTAAAAATATGCAAAAATGATCTGAAATATTAAAATAAGTGATCTAAGTGGCCTAAGGCCAAAAGCCATGAATATGTAATTTATAATGTTATAGTAATGGAGACCTCAGTCCTAAACTAATGTCATATAGTCACGAATACAAACAGACGCCAGGTCTTAAATGGTGACCTAAATGTGTATAAACGGCATTTTAGGCCCAGAATGCTAATATCAGGTCTACACAAGGTGAACCATGATCGAAATAGCCAAGCTCAAATATCTAGGATGAATGCACCTCAGAGATGGGTATAATCCTAGTCCACAAAATATTTAAGGACAACTCAACTTATAAAAAAAAAAAAAAAATTAGATAAAAATTAGCACAAAATATCAAGTTGACATTAATGCCCCTGACATCAGTGTCAGGTTCATTTCATAGAAGCTTGTTGTCTTACTGATTAACTCTTTCCGTCCCTAAATAAACAAACAAATACATAGATAATCAGAATCAAATCATAACTAAGTATATAAAAAAATATGAAAGAAAAATCAAACATTGTTTATATAGAATATGAAGATCTTGTACACATGATTAAGTAAACAAGCTAGGAGCAAATGCACATTACTTACAGTGTATTTTTTATCTTCACTATTAATATAATTCAATCAAAATACTACTCTGCTCTTACAAAATTTTAGCATTGTGCAAATGCTTTCCTGTAGATTGACTGCGTTACCCCTAGATGGCTAGTGCAAAAAAAAAAAAATAAATAAATTTTCAAGTAAACAGAATACCTTTAAATTCTCGAATAAGAAGTTACCATGGTCAGATTTACTGGGGTAGGCATGACTGATTCCGATTAAGCTGATACCTATAGTGCAGTCAACATAAACAGTGTCTACAATTCATTTCATATGGTAGGTGATTCACAATGTTATACACATTTTATATATAAATATCATATGACAAAGAAAGAAACAACCTAATCAGCAGTAACTACACAAACAAGCACCTAGTACATTGCTTTATTATCAGGGATGAGCAATGTGTTTTAAAATTCAGCTCCTAATCTTGTCTGAACATGAATATGAAATCTGAATATGAAGCAAGTAACTGATAAATGTTTCTGACACGATTTCAATGATTTCTATGTTGTGATGCTATAATGGAAATTATGGTAGCGATTTCTAACATGGATTTATGTTATGATACTCGAGTCAATAGCTTATGATACTCGAGTCAATAGCAAGTCTCCATTTTAAAAACTGAAATAATATAAAAAATAGTCAAAATCATCTATTCAAATATGAAATGTAATGCATGTTCTTCAAGATGTTATTTATGCTAGCTTTAGGTAAAGCAGTATCAAAACTGCCATGTGGCTCAACCGGTCAACTAATATATATGTACACAACTATTACGTGAAGCTTACATTATTACACATTATATTACTGAAATCAGCAACAATAACCAATATAAGCAACCATACTGAAGTACCAAAAATTATACATTGTGCCAGAAGATTTCAGATCTGACCTATCAAACAAGCTAGAAAATAAGGACACCAGCTTAGAAATTGTACTCTAAAGGCCATTTCTCATAAAGTGCAAAATCTTAGCGAAACAGCTGTATCGACATGGGTTTGAGAGACAGATATTGGTTACTATAATAGCCTTAATGTCAGTTATAACGTACCTACAGGGAGCCCGTGTCCTTGACAAAATCAGTGCACTATCTTCTGCTTTTACACCAAGGCTCAGTTTCGTCAACACTGGATAGCACTATCCTCTGGATAACACTATAGCCATTAGATAAAATTGTTATCCTCTGGGCAATTATCATGTGGGTAAAGTAAAGTTTTCTAAGCACTAGATATCTATTTTTGTATCTGAAATTGCTATTCAGTTGCCAAAATGGCTGCTGTCCTCAGGGTTGTTGTTCAGAAGATAACCATTTTATCACATGGATAAGTGTTATGCATAGGACATATCCACCAGTGTTGATGAAACTGGGCCCTTTTTCCGAAATTGTGGAGTGGTTGTAAAAGGAAGCGAAGTCAATGGTAGCAAAGTTACAGGTAGAACCTCTCAAAACATATCAATACAGGTGCATCTCTAGGGCAGAACACCTCATGTTCAAAGGTGTCAAAGGTTTTTGCACATTGGGCCAGCAAATTGAAGTAGGTGACATACAGACAAGACGTAAGACTAAATCTACAAACAATACCACATATATATAGCTCACTAAGTAGGCACATTTACTTCTTTCAAATGTCCTTGTAGCAAATTGAGCATCCAGGAGCGAGTCACTACCATACACGTAATGAAACTCTTACTAACTAACATTTTACAAGCACTTCCCACCTGGCATTTTTATCTGTGGTCTAGAGGTCCTAGGATTTATCTTCTTCTTCATCTTTGAACACATTGAAAAACAGGGTCATAATATTCACCTAGGCCCTAACATTGCTTGCTTTCAAAAATACTGTTCATAATTTGTACATAATTTATGTTACAAGGCATAAAATAATATAGAATATGTACAATCTTTTTACAAACATTTTAAGGGATTCACCTCATCTTGCATCAAGCAAGCTATAAGAAACATTCTAAGTTCTTTTCTCTAAGAAAATGTCCCTATCAATACCAATGTGCACCGGTTTTCTGTCTCCAGGACAAAGCTTCAGCGAAAAAAAAAATGGCGCTACACCAAACTTTCATTCACAATTATTACCAACACAGCTTTCAACCACAACATCATTTTTTACCTACCACAAATTTCATTTTTTAATGCTAAATTAATGACTCAAGAAATCAATCTGCATTTTTGCCCCAAAGTAAATCTCCAACCTTCACATTTCTGTCATCAGATATCATATATGTATATCACTATTACCGTAGGGGCATATCATGATGTAGATATTGCTAGTCAGAAGGGATATGTCATGAAGACAACAAAACACAAACATCTCCATGGCATATCATACTTCAATAAAAAAAAAAATGCAATCAGTCCTTTTTTCCATTTATACTACTGTTTGATCTCTCTCTCTTTCCTTTTTCTGAAACCCCATGCCATAAGTTCAAAATCAAGTTACACAAAGTGAAAGTTAATTAAATCAATACTGAATATGTTCCTCATATCAAACACGTTACAACAAATATACAATGATTGTCAACTCAGCAAAGCAATCAAGACTTCTCAATCTGACACATTAACACACAGCTCAACTGTCTCAGCCCCAAAGTTGGATGGGACCTGACAGAAAAACTGCTTGCTTTGTGCAGCATTAAACCAATGCAAGAAGCAATCCATCTCAGCACAGCTTCCTCTTAGGGATACTCTTATTTGATTTTGTGGAGACAAGCATACTTATGAATGTTGGCCTTGTGCAAATGAAATTTTTTGTGTAACAAATAAACAGTGGAGTTTTGAGAGGCAAAGTGTCGGAAAATCTACCACCTGGGTTTTTAAGCTGTAATACCACATTTTAAGATAAAATCTTGGGACCCATTTCAAGACAAAGTTTAAAGCACAAAAAAATATAAATAACTACTTTATAACACTTGACAACATATAACTACAGAAACAATTATCATATGTACAAATGTTCTCTATCAAATGTTATAGAATCTTGTCCATAGTCAGTTCACTGAGGACTGGCAGTTCAAGTACTTTCACTTTCCAGGGTCACTTGCAGTCAATCCACCATCTTGATTTTGGCGGCCATCTTAGCTTAGAAATATCCCTTATATATATCAGATTTTGCTTGTTTGCAATACAAACCACAACAGGTATATGACAGCTTTTGCAGTTCTTTGCGGCAGCCAGTATTCTGTGGTCTAAGCATTTTCCCTATTTTCTGAAATAATATTCCTGCTGTACACTTGGCTAGAACAAACTGGAACTATCTCGCCTGCCATTTCACTCATCTACTTTCTTTTTCCAAGGTCCCAAATGGTCAATGCTCAATCTGAAATTAATGCACAAAAACCAAAATAAATAAATAATAACCGACTTTAGCAGCAAAAAGTATCATTTCACATTACAGGTGGATCAAAACTGAAACTATTTTCTTAGCATCAATATCAAAGAGAAGTACACTTGGGCAGAAAACAACAGGATTTAAGGTGGCAAATTAAGGTTTGAAATGTGGAGACAAAAGTTTCAGATAAGTCTCCTTAAATTTGGATGCCTTTTTAGTTTTTAAGCACCCAAACAAACCCATATTACATGTGCCCTTCCAAAAAGCACTTTAGGAAGCCACAGTAGAATTCCTGTATATAGTAGTGTTAGTGTTAAGGTAGTGTTAATACCACATCTCCTTTGGCACTGATGTTCTGCATAATGATATCATCAATGTCAGAACTGTGCTGATGTTGTTGCTGTTGCTGAAGTTGTTGCTGCTGCTGCAGAAGGAGACAGACCATATTGAAAGCACTGTCAGCAGAGTTACTGTTACTGGGGACGTTGTTGCCGACACCAAAGCCCGACAACCAGGTCTGGAGCGGACTCCGAGATGGCGGCTGGTTGTTGTCAGGGACTACCAGAAACAACAAATCACAGTGAAGAACAAGACAGTATTTTCTCTATAGAATGCAGTCATGGTAAAACTTGATGCTCACTGGCAAACGCCTATCATTCCACATTTGAGCCAGATGAAATTTATGCATTTTTTCTTCAAGTGATGCATAAAATAAAAAAAATAATATAATAAAAAACCTGACAGCCTGACAGGGTAATACTTTGGCAGGACCAGCAATACCGAGTTGTCACCATGACTGTATAATGGGGGCATTGTTTGGCAGAGCAGCTGCTTTGTTTTGTTTTGTTTTTTTTTTTTTTGTTTTTTTGTTTTTTTTTCTTATCAGATTCCGATTTGTCAGGCTGTTCATTAAAGTTAAAGAAATGGTCTCTTTTTGAGTTCAAGAGATAAAAGGTTGGAAGGGAGAATCTGCATGTTGCCAATTTCTAAGTTTGAAACTCACCTGATTACCCCCCCCCCCCTTCCTAAGTTCTCTGTATACAAATGAGTGCCTTTATTACCATCATTCTAATAAAACAGGATTGGAACACACACACAAAACACTCACAAAAACTCAAGAATAAATTAGAGTGCAGCAACTCAAGAATAAATTAGAGTACAGCAACTTAACTTTCTACACATTTTCATTTGAAATTGAAAAGGAACCGTTTTCCCCAAAAGGAGGCATCTCTCACCCGAGAGCCTCTTACCTTTACTGAGCTCATTCTTGGCATTCAGCGTCAGCAGCGAGGGTCCCGATACACTGGTCATCATCAGTGACTTGAGGGCAGTGCCAGAGTCCACCAGCACTGTGGAATCATTGGTTTTCCCATTAGAGGGCCCCACCTTGGCATTGCCTGACGCTGCCAACCGCCTGACCAGTTCCTGGTAGTCCGGGGACCCAATGACCACACTGGGAAGGCTGGACGGTGTCATGGACATAGACTGGCTTGTGCCTCCTGAGTGTGGGTGTAATAAAAAGAGAAGAAAAAAACAGAGTACTAGGCCGTCTTAGACCCGACGTGTCTGAATGCGGTTTTCCAGCCGGAAAGTCTTTCATTCAGATAAGTCTTCTGATGATAGTTGACAAACTGAAATATTTGGAAAAAAAATAAAATTTTGAAAAAAAAAATTAATTAATGAACTTAAAGCCAATCCTAGAAGTTTGAAGAAAGATTCAAATTAGCTCTTTATGGGCTGGAGTTTACACACCACACAAGCTTTAAGGCCAACTGACAAAACAGAGAACACTTGTACTACCATTAGTTCTCCCATGCATACATAAGACTATAAAACTGACATTGCAGGAATTGGTGAGCTGTTAACAACCGTATCTTTCTTTTGTAAATGCAAAACTTTTGACCTCTTTGAGAGTCTGTAAAAAATGTAACCACCTTTTTTATTTTCAATACTAAACATCACATCATCATATGCTACTCAGTAATGAACACATAATATCATTTGTTATCACTCATCAAAAGGATGGCAGTGGCTTTTATCGCCAGACACAAGCCCCATGTTGCAGCGGAGCATCTCCCTCAACATTGGCAGCCAAATGTAACCACCTTTTTATTTTAATAACTAGACATTATCATTTGCTGCTCAGTGATGAAAAATATAGCAGTAAGTGTAATAATAACAAGCACGGCACCATCATTAAGCCACTTAATTGATAACCAAAACCTTAATCTCAGAAAACCTGCCCTTGTACCAGAGCCAAGAAACCATTTAGAAACCAAATCAGGAGTAAATCACTTTAAAAAATTTCTATGAATAAGCTGCAAATGTTTTTTTTTTTTTTTTTCACTTCTAAAGATCCAATTAGTGAATTTCAATTTCCCTGCCAGACAATGATGCCAAATACTTTTTAAATACGCAATCTAGTTCATCTCTGTCAGCAGCTTCCATTTCAGGGGGCAGATTCGGAAAGGGAGGTTTGACTGAATGATAATATTGTTATTCTTCTTTACAATGGATAAATAGCTCCCTTCTTCCAATTATGTAACACTAAGGCTTCGTTCACATGCAATGTCTATTTTCTCAATTCTATTTTCTATTCGCGGTATATCTTATGATCACGGTCTGTGGCCTGAATATCCCGCGGCGTAATTACTGGCAGCGCGAGCCAGTTACTATAAGTTACTATAAGTAACTGGCTCGCGCTGCCAGTATTTAGGGCACAGACCGTGATCATAAGATAGCGCAAATAGAAAATAGAAATTAGAAAATAGACATTGCATGTGAACGAAGCCTAAATCCCCTTATTTTTCATTCACCATTTATTAAATTGCTTCGATGATGTTGCATTGAATTTATTTGCATAAATATCGGATTCAATAATGAGGGACTCCCAGTATTATTTTCAGCACTCAGATAATGTAGTAATTCATAGTCAGAGTAATACTCTACATTCTAGTGTCAAAGTTGCTGCATCCTCCTTGCCAAATCTGGAATCTGCCCCATGATTGGAAATCTATATTAATAGTATAGAAACAAAGTATATGAGAGCTAACTAAGAGGAACTAGATGGCAAACAAGCTTTTTTTAGTATATGAAATTCTAAGTATTATAAAAGTATCCTCCCTGAAACAAAATCCAAATAAAAGATGTTAGAAAAGAAGATTAATAGTCAATGGATAAAGAAGGGCACAACAAAAGCATACCACAGGTTCCGCCGGGCCGTTCAGTTGGGCTCTGCGCGCACTGGCTCATGTGGCTTGTACAGGTGGCATTATTATAAGAAGGGGCGACACACACTTGGTGTCCAGGGGGGCCGACCCCTTTCACCTGGTCAGCGGCCGCGTGTGTTGGTCCGAATTGGCCTTTGGAGATCACATTATTTTGCAAATCAAACATGTCCCGTTCTTGTGATCTCTCTTTTCCCTGTTCCTGCTGCTGAAGCTGGTACTGAAATTGCTGGTTGAGCCAGATGGCTTCTGCAGCAAAGAAAAAAAGGACAAAACTGTAATGATGAGTTTTAGACACAGGTGCGAGGGACTGTCTGGACTCTGCTTAGTGACAAACACTGGCTGAATATGCTCTGCAACTCTTATATGTTTTCCATTCATGGTGTAGAAACTCAAATATTTTTTTATGGTATTGATAAAAAATTCCTTTCCACTTGAAATGAAAAAAAAAAAAAAATCAAATAACTCAAATTCACATTTCTTTTTCATATTTTTGTTATCATTGTTTGGCAAATCTGCAGATCTGTGTGACGCTACTGAGAAGTCCTAAGTTCACTGTTGGTGCCGCAGTGGAGAACACTGCTGAATCTTTAAACCTGAAAACCTTACATAAGCTGAGGCAGAATGAAAACATCAACACAAAAGAATCACTACATAATTACCAGTTCAATATTTGGTCGAGTATGCTCAATTAAAATAATTGAGATTTAAGGAAAAGATCAGATTTTTGTGGTTTGCCAGTCAGATTGCCAATTAAAGCTAAAAGCCATTAAGCTATAATTATCATCTAAGCATTGCCACGTTATTTGCATTTTTTTTTTTTATTCCAAGGTTAATTTGGTGACCTTCCGCACGTTATTTTCTGTTTTTTACTTCCACTAAGAAGGTCATGTTTTTATCCTGGTTTTGCACACTGTTCGTCACCAATGTAACTAAAAAGTTATAGATAAATTTTGATGAAAATTTCAGGCAAGATCAGATATGGGCTAACTAAAAAGTGATCAGGCTTTGGTGGGATCAGTGATCTGAATCACACATTTTTTAACAGGATTCCTCAACATTGCATGATTGGGCCAATGACCTTGTGCAATGGATGTGTTCTTAGCTTTTTTATTACCTATCCTTTTACCTCCTCAGCTATCGATCAATCCAATAAATACATTTTAAAATGAAGACAATTAGTCCTGTAGCCTATGCCACGAATAAAGAATTTTGGCAGATTTTCGTAACTTAAAAGGCAAAAGGTTTTAATTTTATATATTTCTACCTGGGTCCAAGCTTGCATACAGTGCACACAAGTTGGGGCGGAGAGCCCTACATGATGGTATTCTACTGCGCACCAACAATGATGGCGTTCATGTTGGACATTTTCATCATCTCAGTTATAACTTCTTGATTAAAACTGCATTTGAAAACCAACAGGATGAATCTAAATTGAACAGTGAAATGGCAAATTTCAAAGTTTCAGTTCCTGCTCAGAGAATGATATTTGAGTGACGATGTTGAGTACAGGACATCAGGGCAATGTTTGCTCTAAACAGAGCCCTCTGGCCCCCAAAGGGACGGTCCCAGCCCTGTTTATGGACAAACACTGAAAACAGAGTTCACTGAGGATGACTAACAACAAATACTTGAAACTTGTGATAATGATATAGTCAATAGTTATGATGGATATTACTGATGCCAACTTTTATTATAATGCCCTTTTAACAATTCGGGGTTTTGTGAACTTTGTTGAAGAACACAAAAAGTATCATGCCCTCGTTTTTCTCGAATACACTGTTTTTCCCCTCTATTTATTTGTCTTAGATATCTGGATTAATATTCAACTTATATTAGAGGAAATGATGCCATAATACAGAAAAACAAACCCATGTGAACTTTAAAATGAATGCAATTCCTAAAATGTTTACCAACAGACATTGCCAAAGCTACAACACCTGAATGTGCAAGCCAAAAAGATAAGCAAAGCAATTTTTGTCCTTAAGACATTAACATTTAAACACTTTATACTACTAGAAACTTCAAATAACTTTCTACTGAAGTAATCCATATTTTTTTAAATTAATATCCATTAAACAACTTTATAATGTGCAACAAAACAGTTTGTATTCAGTTGGAGCAAGCAGAGATGATAAAAAATACCAAATAAGGACAAAGATTTCTCTTAGCCTTGGCATATCATATATTCTTAATTGGTATGTGACTTACCAGGTGCTACACAGTTCAAATGTGAAGATGGCACTGTAGTCTCTGTGTCCATTTTTTCTGTTTTTCTTGAATCTTTGGTCGCTAAAACCAGGAAAACAAAGATTAAAACCCTAAAATACAAACAAAACCAACTTGTGTGGCTTTTTTTTTTTTTTTCAAAACAATGATAGCATAGTTGTATATTTTGTTTGTAAGTGGCTTGAAATGAAATGATAAAGAAGCATCAAACGAGCTAGCCAGGAGAATTGTCTTTGTCTAAAAAATCCTCTTTTCTTCAAGGCTTAACTTTTGTTTTAACCTGAAGAACCTTGGTTATTGTCTAAATCTGTGTTGTCCAAACTATGGAAAACCCTTGAGGCTTTGATATTAATGAAAGTTTATTCCAGGTTGTATAATACAGCAACATCTATGTACACAGAAAACAGAAACCCTTCTGTTGTGTTCATACCTAAGTACATTTACACACACATATATATATATATATATAAAGATATGGTTAAATATGTAATAGAAAAATAAACAACTTTTTGACAGCAACATGTACACGTACATACACACACACACAAACAAATGCACACTCAGAGCTCAGTTTCCTGAGGCCAATATTTCACATCACTCCAGTATCAAATTAAGATTTACTCTTTCTTTCGTGTCAATTATCACACAAACTTTCTGGCCATTCCATACCAAGGCACCCACACATCTTACTTTGCCTAAAACGCAGCTGATCACTCTGCAAGGCACGGGGGGTTTTGTAATTATGACTAAATCTTAAATGGAATGACGGTATCTAGAAGCAAAGCAACCATGCAGTATAATATACCTTGCCACAACAGTCAGGCTTTTGCTTGAATTCCACCTAGTTGAATGTCACTTTTCATACCAACATCATCACATTAATTGTATTGCATGGAGAACTTATTCTTGTTAAAGTTACTTTTTTTTTTTTTTTTTGATGAAAGAAATAAACCCAAACAAAGCCAAAACTTCCACAAGCATGAAAAAATTTGCTTAGAATTACAAAGGAGAATAAAATTGATATAATTTTGCTCTGTAAAAGAGCTTTAATCAAGACGCTACAATAGTGCTTTGAAAATTCAGTATCGATCACAATGTCAAGAGAAATTACAGATTTTCCTAAGAATTTTTTTTTTTTGTTTCAGCAGTGAGGGTTGAATAAAAAAAATGACATTCTTGTATCTGTATTAACATGATTTATAGATTAAAGACCAAATTAGATTTCGAAGGTACTCGTATATCATATTTTTCCTGTCATTTTGAATAAAACATGAAATCAAAAACATTTGAAAAGCAGGATTGGCTACAATCGAAGTTGTTTGATGCTTCTCTTTCATATAAATCAACAAGCAATGCTTTTGGTTCATTTGCTCAATCTCATGTTGTCAATTGACCAAATCACAGGTTTATTTTTCATTCACTTTGGACACACTTTTTAAAAAATTAAATCATCTCAAAATCATTCTTGATACATACTTCTGAAACAAAATATTGCTGGAATAATGTGACACAGTAAATGGTATAAACATTAGTTATAAGACCACCAATAACAATAATCCATACTGAAACATTTTCAACCTGATTATTTATTAGGCAAAGACTATATCTGATTTCACCTTCAACCACAGCATTGCTTGTTTCATGATACAAAACTGAAATATGGTTGTGGTCTTAGATACTTTGCTCTCAGGTGGGCAAGAAACTGAGTGTGTGTGTGTGACTGAGAAAATAAAACATGAATTAAGTCTTCTGGTGCTGCTGAAATAATAAAAGATTGATAAAAAATGACAATAATGATGTTGATGATGTTGTGACAATGTTAATGATTCAATTTTTAAGTATTGAGTAGCATATGACAGAGATAGATTGCACAGAAAACATTTATCTGCACTTGTGTACTTATACATGTCTTGATCACCATTAAGCACACATAAGTAAACATGCAAATACTTCTTCAAGTGCAATCTATCCACATATACTATTGTCTAATTTTCTACTTACTGACTGTGCATTATTTAAGATGTAGTTCCCCACACGTTTGACAAGATTGATTCTTCAAAAGTCCATGATAATAAGTAACCAAATGATGTCTATGGCCAAACTGCCAAAGCTCCCTCCCAACCCCGGGGTCATTGTGTACAAGATAAAGCCATTATGGTTCAAGACAGCATCCAAAATAAACCATAGACATAAAACTTTCATACTGTCATTGACAGAACCAGCTTTATGGCTGCAATTTTTGTCCTTGTTTAAATGATTTTCTTTCTTTTTTCCTAATTTTATTCATCAATTTTTGAGGCAATAGTTCTATAATCATGAAAATCTTTAAATTTGCTGGTTCAATGAAAAAGGGTAGACCATTCAGAGCTTCAACAGTTGGGCAAGACATTAAATGAATAAAAAAAATATGCAAGTTGGGTAGAAAAAATAACGAATAAGAAATAAAACATGAATGCTATTTACATTCATAGCGGGGGCACGGAACCCTTGAGGGATGTGACAAAACTAACAGTGATTAACTGTAGGAATGTCACGGAGCTAAGTGAAATCTTCCTTGTACTCCTTCCGGCCACATGCTGGTCTAGCGTGGTACGTCTGAAAAGATGACGGAGTCCCTCCCATTCAGATGGATCAGACCATGGAGGTGCGAATTAGACAAGGGAGCAAGTACTCTTTGGCCAAAATATGATGTTTTTTTACGTCTCTGACTGCTCTTCTATCTCACACATAGACACAGGTAAAATTTGAAGTCATGGGAGAAAAAATGAACAGTTCTACTATGTAAAAGATGGGAGTTATAATCTAAATGACTTGATGCAGCAGGTCAGCTCTGGTATAAACATCTGGTTTTGATGATGTCCTTGTACATGAACTAACATAAAATGATTTCAAATGTCCTAAAACTTGGTTTAAAACATTTCAGAAAAAAAATTCAGGTGAATGGATGGTGAATAAATACTGCAAATTTGTTGAAGTCCCCCCCCCCAACAAAAAATGGTAACTAATTTAACTTATTCCTATCTTCATCATCATACAGTATTAGTTCAGACAATTTATTGTATCAAAATTAACTTTTATCGGTAACTTATTAATAAAAATAGAAAATAAGTCTATTTCAGACAGCATTTCAATCTTCTTTAGTAAAAACTTACCATAGATAAACATTCTAGAAACAACAATTTTCTTTACAATTTTTACCCCCTATGCAGTCTTCCCCTTTAACATTTAACACTTCTCTTTTGATTGTAGCCCATGAGAAGAGCAGTCAGAAACTAAAACTTTCTGTAATTTGTGCTGAAAAAAGACCGTCTTATAATAGATTAGCAACACATTGTTCAAACTTCTACAAGAATCGTTACAAAAGTTCTTTTAAAGTTCTCCAGCTGAAAGTATCGGGAAAGCTTTCCATCGTAACACAACCATCCCCAAAATGCGATTATGAAAACATCTGATATGTACTAAGGAAGCAGTGACTTGTATAAGGAACAAACTAAGTTAGATCCTTAACATTTGTAATAACAGTTTTACTTTTCCATTACTTTGAATCATCCCTCTCAGCTAATTCAAAGCAATTGAAGAGTAAATCCTGTCGTAAAATTCTTAGGAACTGAAAGGTAAGAGTTGATTAAAATGCACTCCATGGCAAACACAAATCTCAAGGACGCTCGCATATTGCCCATGTAATACCCAGTTATAACCAACATTACAGCCTGTTCTAACCCACTCAAAACCCACGTCAAGTTCACACACAGCCCAACCACGCAGTGCAAGCTCCAAGTTTCCAAAAAACATCCTCTGAACCCTCACATGTTTACTTAAACATCGTGGAGGTATAACCAGTCCCTAATATCACACTTGTCTTCCGCACTTTGGACCCCCTTTTTTTTTTTTTAATCCTTTGTTTATTGTCCTTGGCAAATTTTTGTATCATACAAATCATCAAAGATGGCCTTTTGATATGCACAAGATAGCTCCATTTAGCTCTAGTCATGCACTGGCCAAGGGAGACGTAATGCTTGCCAAATTTATTGACAGAAAAACGCAACATCGTTTCTTTCCTTGATTCAGTATCAAACCTATCAAACTGAAGCAAGCATGAATCTTAAAATCAGAATTTGGGAGCAAAATCCTCTGTAACCCATTAGTGAGACCATTTGTAGCGTGATTACAAAGACACAATTCACTGCACCTTCCTACATTTGATAAATGGAGGTCCCCAAATAGAAAGGTATGTCATTCTGTGACAATGGCCTTTATGTGACAAAACAAACTGCAGCTGTCACTTCATTTTTTCATGACAACACAAACAGTTTGTACTGATTAAGCCATGTTTTCTAGTACTGATTAAGCCATGTTTTCTAGTACTGATTAAGCCATGTTTTCTAGTACTGATTAAGCCATGTTTTCTTGTAAAGGAAACCATCCAAATCACCTCTACTCACAGTCTGCTTCAAAACATACTACAATCAAAACTACACTTTACACAAAGTCCATGCACATATCAGGTACTTTATAAAACAGGGTTCTCAGCTCCTCACATACACAAGGCTTGCTTTCCCACTTCAACTTTCTCAGTTTCTCTGTACATACAAATAAAAGTGATTCCATCCCTGTTGTTGAACACATTTATGACATTTTTTTTTACATTTCTTTTCAAATTGAAAAAGTGGCAAGCTTAAAAAGATCAAAAGATCAATCTGCAATAATTAAATAAAAATAAACAGTGATGGCAAAAGAACTGGTTTCCAGACCTTTCAATGTTAATATTTTTTAATGATCAAAATAGTCAAAATTTACAGGGAATCGCCACTCATTCAAAAATAAAACTAAATGAATAAATAAACAAATAAAATAAAAATAAAGAAACAAAAACTGGAGACGTCCAATATCATTAAATGCACCAGCCATGACAGGATATCTCAATTCATTTTACCCCGTCTCATTTTTTTTTTTTTTTTTTTACTTTTTACACTGACTAACAAACAAAAATTTAGGAGAAACGGTTCATGTTCATCAACAAAATTTTTTTCAGTATCCTCAACAAATGTCAAAATTAGTTTTTTTCAAACAAACCTTTCAAAACTCATCAACAAAAATAATGGAAGGGCACAGAAATTTCAGTCCTGGTTCTAAAAACTTTTTGCATATCATTTATAAAATGTTTTCTGATGAATTATTGATGCACCGTAACATTACGTAGGACGCAAAAAGCAAAGGTAATAAATTAAAAGGCAACGACAACTAGTTGATGGTGACCAGGTTGAAAATATTTCCCATGTTTTTATCAATCTCCCCAAACCACTTTTCTCCAGAAAATCAAAACCAATTTTCTCCAGAAAGATTTCTCCCCTTTTTTTGTCTGAAAGCTAGGGCAGAAAAGGCTCCAGTGAGACCAAATACGAGTATGAAATGAAGAGAAAAAGATCTGCAATGGCTGGTGTCATCATTACTGTCCACTGTCTATGAACATGTTTCTCAGAACAAGTACCATACCTGGTCTGTAAGTCAGCGGCTGCGGGTCGCTGGTCTTACCAGAACTTTGGATGTGGAACTGGACGGTGACGGGTTCTTTGATTTCTGGATCTCTATATGGCGGGACAGTGATCACTAAATGGGTCTGAAACAATATGGAGTGGTACAGTGATTACCAGACGATTCTGAAACAATATGTAGTGGTACAGTGATTACCAGATGATTCTGAAACAACATGTAGTGGTACAGTGATTACCAGATGATTCTGAAACAACATGTAGTGGTACAGTGATTACCAGATGATTCTGAAACAATATGTAGTGGTACAGTGATTACCAGACGATTCTGAAACAATATGAAGTGGTACAGTGATTACCAGACGATTCTGAAACAATATGTAGTGGTACAGTGATTACCAGATGGATCTAAAACAATATGTAGTGGTACAGTGATTACCAGATGGATCTGAAACAATATGTAGTGGTACAGTGATTACCAGATGATTCTGAAACAATATGAAGTGGTTCAGTGATTATCAGATGGGTCTGAAACAATATGAAGTGGTACACTGTTTGAGATTTGAAGGATTCCTAGTATGTGACTGTTGATGTTATATGAAACTGTGCAACAGCTCATTTTCTTGAGCTAGCGCTGTTCTGCAGAGAAAGGAAAACCTATCAAACTCAGGCCAGTCTGTGAAAAGACACACATAAATGCAGACAAAATGTAAAACGGTTTTCCACTGAAAGTGCACAGCAACAAAGGTGACATCAACGACAGACACAGGTGATGGCTAATGGCTATATACATAAAAATGGCAAAACTTTTTTATGTGCTAGTTAAGTAATATATTACTCTTACATTTGATTTATGAAACAATTTGAGTTCAAGGGAAGTGCAATGCAATAATTTTTTGGAAAAATGTAAACAGTATCCAACTATTGGATCTGTAGTACATCTGTAAGTGTCACTGAGTATTTAAGTTCACTGAAATAATGTCTTTAGTCAAAACAATAAGAAAAGCTATACTTTGTGAACCAAAACGAGAATGCCAACGTGTACTTCTCTGACTCTAGGTGGCCAATGTCTGACATGTTATCACTCAATATTGTTTACCCACTTTCCAGTTAAAGTGACCTTTCTGGACCAACTCCAAAATGTCTCAGTTCATACCATTGAGAGAAACATGTAGTGACATGCGTAATTGTTAAAATAGGCTTAAATCAACAGATTAAAAACAAATAATAATTACATTATGCAAGATTTGCTACAATTTGTAATTATAATGAGTAGCCTTATATACACCTAGGTTCTTCTCTGTTAAAACATGGATGACAAATGGAGTCAAGACTGGTACTTCTTGTATAATCTGGACCATATTAAATATTGACACACACTTAAATACCTAGAGATACAGAATTCCACTACAATCAGGACAGTGTGAATGGCTGCCTACTGCACCAATTCAACCCCAAATTTTGGTTCAACTGGGTGCATCTGAAGCATAAAACTACTAGAAACCACCCCCACCCCTCCTCACCCCGTCCAATCCAGGCCATCCTGCTGCCTAAAGAGTAACAAGACAGTCTAATCAAGCTGTTAATGCTTGTCCCTATTGCAGGGTCACTGGCTAAATTCTAGAGCGTGAAATAACATTAATTTTACTCCTGCCTCCACTGAACAAATAAACCGACTTGTTTTCTCTGCCTAAAATTGCACAATTTCCTAAAATTGTACAATTTCAAATAATGAATTTGAAACAATTTTCATTTTCATTTAGTTTTTAAAATGTTGATACAAATGGCTAGCAACTGCTTATCAACTTTCTGAAATAAAAAAAAATTAATAAAAAATAAAAATTAAAAAAAAAAAAACTTTCTGAAATAAGACATGCAGCTGTTTATGTATCTTAGCATGGTACATAATGTATTCCTCACAAGTCTTGGTGCATGTTTCTCTAGAAGGAGTTTGAGGTAACCTAAATGGAGTACATGAATTGGAGATTTATTAACAATTAACCTAAGCAGGGGACACGGATTTGTGACTCATTAACCTGATGGAAGATAAGCAATGATAACAACTTCCATATTCTATATATCTACCAGTCTTCAGTGTTCAAAGTGAAGTGCTAGCTGCATGATACATGTAAAGCTCTTCATTATCAATTAACATATGTCGTTACTGTAATTTAAAAATTTCTACAATTACTAATATTATAGATTCCATATAATATTGCTAACCCCCCCCCTCAGCTAATAAAAAATTTTCTGTCTTGGGTGAAGCAATATCAAAGCATTATTCAGTAATTATTCTAATCAACTCAAATTTCACAAAGTTTTAAGATGCTACAATTCTGGAAACACTTTTCCCCTCTACACACTGTCATGTCTATATTCTGAAATAATAAATTACCCTAGTTGAAGTGTGGGACACCTCCTTACCAATATAAGAGCATATAGAATATGAAAATTCTCACACACAAGCCGAAAAAACTTTCATATTGTTAGCTTACGGCCAACCTGGACGTAGGCCTTCATCAGACTGATGTGAGTATAGTTGCCATGCAGGACCCTCTTATAAATGTAAGGTCCCACTAATTATCACTATATGATTAAAGACGCATCTATAACATATAAATTGCATCATGGAAAAACAGAAGCTCAAAGGTATTAAAAATCCTCTTGGCTGAGATGATGAATGAGCTCAAAGGATTTTTCCAGCTGGTTTGGGGTATTAAAGTGATTCATTCCTGGTTATGGATTCTAGCTATCACTTGTGCCAATAAAATTAGCCTTGATTCAAGGTTACTGCCATAAATACAAACACAGCATCCTAACGCTGTTTATTTCCTTCTTGAAATACCTTCAGATGTTTTCCTTGACACCAGGCACGTAGTCTAGACATTGTGATTAATACAACCAGCCAGTGCTATTGTATCAAACTATACTGCACACCCTGATACAATAAATACCTGCAAATTACCTCTGGAACATGGCCAATAACTTCATCTCAATGTTGTAGAAAAATTTTGGCTTCATTTATAAACAGTTGGCATTAACACTCTATACTATTCTCGCCCTACACTTTTACCAGCTCAAGCAAGCATATGTAATTTTTTCGTAACACTTCAAAATAACTGGCAATGGTTTTAAAAGCAACTCAAAAATTTTTGCTCATCATTTCACCAATTAAACACAGCTTTGTTGACTAATTACTGACTCTGCTAAGAATGACAAACACAGTGATAGTGACCTCAACTGACCCCTTCACGTGACCCTAATGACCCCCGGGCCTATCCTGTATGTAAACTTTTGGTAATTGAGGTAGGCAACAACAGATAGCCCTGATTTATGGTAAGGGCCTGGTGCTTGGTAAGTAAGCAGGAAAGCAGATGTCTGGTCAGGAGATTACAGTCCTATTCAGAACGGTGGACTAACTAGTCCGCAGGTTAAATATAGCAACCCACTACAAAGCTTGCCATCTAATCCGCTAATAAACTCTGAATAGATTCTCCGTGGGGAAGTATTCAAGTGGGTCAGCCATATTTGACCCTCGGACTAGTTAATCCACTGTTCTGAATGCGGCCTATGATGCCAATTTGTAGGTGATATGTAGCATGTGCTAACAAATAGAAACAGTTATCTTATCTACTGATTTATGATCATGCTATTTGTTGTTTTTGTGATGCATTTTGTGGTGTCTACCTCCAGCTATATTTCATACCAGGTAATTGACCTTGCCATGTTATGTTTAAAAAAATAATAAGATTAACAAAAAATCAACATTTTTTTACTTTTCCCAGGAACCAAAAATAAATAAATAAATAAATAAATAAATAATGATAATAACAAATAAATAAATAAAATGGAATAAATAAATAAAAATAAAAACAAATAAAATAATATCAGAAAAGATAAAACAACACTGTAGAAGAAAATACAACTAGAAAGATAAATATTTACCGGTTGAAAAAACTCAGGGTCGACGGTGCCTTGTTGTTCCCAGACAACCTCCCCTTCCTCATTTAGTTCCCGGAATATGGCCTTGACATTCCGCGTGAAATTCTTCCCAATAATGATCATCTCAACCTCGCCTTCCGGTAGGCACTCCATGAATGACCTCTTGCAGATCTCAGGCTGACCCGCTGGCTGGGCTATGTGAAATAACAAGATAACCAATGTAAGGATGTTTGCCACATAAGCCTGTAGCCAGGGGGTATTGGAGGGGGGGGGGGTGAAAAAAAAACACCCTTTTTGCTGGGAAAATGTCCCCTCAGAGTAAATTTTCATCTAGTTACATGAAAGTTTAATGGTGAAAGGTCCACTTAAAAAAAAAAAAAAAAAAAAAAAAAAACCTCCCCCCTTTTGAAATTACTGGCTACAGGCTTGTTTCATTGATATTTCTGACCAACCTTGACACAGATGCCTTTGTGTGCAGTGAAGACTGCCAGTATACAGCATTTACAGCTTCCAGCAGCCAAGAGTGCTGCACGTGAGATCTGCATGTCTACCAACATGTACCTCTCTGCTTCTTAAAACACTGAGAGATGCACAATTTATAATTAGTATGATATTACCATTAACAGACATGAGCCCAGTTTTTAGGAAAATCTCTGAACATTTATTTGTTGTGGAACCAAACACCTCGCGTAAATTTTTGGGGTTTAATTGCTCTGGGGTTATGTAAAAAAAGTGGAATTCCGTAATTCCAGAGAAAAAGCTCATGTCTGCATTGATCATACATTTCCGATGCTGAGTTGGTCAGAAAATCAGACTTCAACTTATTCACTAAATTAGGCAGTAGGGCTTTGCAGGAAAGTCTTTTTTTGGCTGTTGTTTGGTAATTAACCTGGTGAACTAGATTTTTTCTTTGACACTTAGACTGTTACATTATTAATACATAGCAGGAAAATGTGCGTCATTTTACTAAACCCATTTCCCTCTTCATTTCCTTTTCACCCAATAATTACAACACAAGCCTAGAGGTTGAAACATATAATCTAATTTGACTTGACAAACACTTTGTACTAAGTGAGAGGAAAAACCATCTTTAAATCTGAATGTAAGGCATCCTGGGGATCACTTACTGCACAAGATTGGCGTAGATGTTGTTTGCAGGGTACATGGCGTGCCATCAGGCTTGCTGATGTTCACCCGAAAAACCATCCGCGTCTTAGTGCTCTTCTTTTTGGACCTTGCAATGCCAATACGCTGCTCCACATCCGCGTTCCTCAGTTTTAATATTCCCACGCAGTCTATGCTGAAATTAGATAAAAAATTTGAGATGGATTTAAGTTTCTTACAAATCAAATCTTCAAAAATTCACAAAATTTATGTGATTTTTCATGGATTTTAGTTTTTCTACAAATCAATATTCACACAGTGCATGTGTACTGAAATTAAATATTAAATAAATTGTGAACGTTCTTCGTTTTAATACAAATTTCACAGACACCATTTTTTTTTTCAAATCCACCCTTATTTTTCAAAAGAACATTTTCCTTCAGACTACATACTGCATGATTGAATGAATAAATAAATGAATGAATGAAGGCACTTTTATAACCAAGCACTGAATGTAAAATCCACCATTTGATTTCAAATATTTATTTCTACTGTCCATATGTCAACACCCATTATCTAATGCAGCACTAATGTGAAACTGATGAATCTCATGTCAAAGAAAGGATATGTAGGACCAATGATGCTCTTATCTACTACAATGTTTGAATGCATTTTTTGTCTGTAATCTTTACTTTTGAGTACTTTGTCGGCCTATCTATGATTAATATGACTGAAAAAGAAAAAAAAAAGTGAGATGCCTTTGCATCCGAGGAAGAATTCTGAAATCATTCTTCACGAAGCAGTAGTCAGCTAATGGTGGCATATGCTCTTACCATTCATCTACTAGCCATTTACCTTTGCATTTGAAATGGGGATTTGAAGAGAAGAAAGCTCAAATTTAACTCCCCAGGCAATGAATGCAAGGTTTCTTGAAGGTTGAAACATTGTCCTAGTAACAAAGAACTAATGATCAATTAGAGATCGTTAATCCAAGAGGAATCAGTTCTGGTAAAGCAATAGAGCAGAGTATTTTTCCTTATTTCTTATCTGACACTGATTACTTTCTAATAAAACAGCCTGGTGGTGGAGAAATATCACCACATCATGATTTTAGGGATAATTTCTGCAGTATGAATGGTCAGAGACCCAGGTAAAAATGATCCTGTCTGTAAATAATGTCAAGAATTTCAGACAACTTAGTCAATAAATAGACCAACCTCTTAAGACACTCAGACCCCATTCCCAGAGATTAGATCGATCTACTTTAGATCGACCTAACTCCCTGGGGGTTCACGCTAAATAGCTGTCAGCCTAGCGGGCACTAAAGTTGATTACCCCCTACAGCTTGTAGTAGGCGGGACGGACATTGAAGCCGGATTATCTGACAGTAATCTTGTGAGACTCCCCGCGGGGATAGATCGATCTAAAAGCTCTGGGAATACGCCCTCAGTGTTGGCATATCCTTTATACTTAACCCAGTCCAATTACATAAGTCTATATACGTCTATATACACAAGGATTACAGTGGATGGAGGAAGCAGAATGTGTTATTGTTACAGTCGGAAATTTTTACATATGGAGCATGCTTCAATCATTTCTATCCAATATCTTGTGCATCACCGTGCTTTTTCTATTTTGTTTATCTAGAATTAAAGCGCCTATCTCATTTACATGTGATATATATTTTTTTACTAATTGTTTGCTATGCATGACTTCACAATTTTGTTTGAAAGTATCATCCTATCTAGGATTTTCATGTCAAATCTAATTTTCCTCAATAAAAAAGCCCAACACACAGATTATTACTTAAGCTGCCTTTGCAGTTAGATTCCTTGATTTATAATTCTTCTAATAATACTTCTAATAATAATAATAATAATAATAACAAGGCAGCAAAGCTGTCAAATGTACAGACAANATAAAAAAATAAAAAAAAAAAAAAAATAAAAAAAAAAAAAAAAAAAAAAAAAAAAAAAACTGAAAACATACAAAAAAATTAAATCACCAGCCATGAAAGGATATCTCAATTCATTTTACCCCGTCTCATTTTTTTTTTTTTTTTTTTACTTTTTACACTGACTAACAAACAAAAATTTAGGAGAAACGGTTCATGTTCATCAACAAAATTTTTTTCAGTATCCTCAACAAATGTCAAAATTAGTTTTTTTCAAACAAACCTTTTAAAACTCATCAACAAAAACAATGGAAGGGCACAGAACTTTCAGTCCTGGTTCTAAAAACTTTTTGCACATCATTTATAAAATGTTTTCTGATGAATTATTGATGCATCGTAACATTACGTAGGACGCAAAAAGCAAAGGTAATAAATTAAAAGGCAACAACAACTAGTTGATGGTGACCAGGTTGAAAATATTTCCCATGTTTTTATCAATCTCCCCAAACCACTTTTCTCCAGAAAATCAAAACCAATTTTCTCCAGAAAGATTTCTCCCCTTCTTTTGTCTGAAAGCTAGGGCAGAAAAGGCTCCAGTGAGACCAAATACGAGTATGAAATGAAGAGAAAAAGATCTGCAATGGCTGGTGTCATCATTACTGTCCACTGTCTATGAACATGTTTCTCAGAACAAGTACCATACCTGGTCTGTAAGTCAGCGGCTGCGGGTCGCTGGTCTTACCAGAACTTTGGATGTGGAACTGGACGGTGACGGGTTCTTTGATTTCTGGATCTCTATATGGCGGGACAGTGATCACTAAATGGGTCTGAAACAATACACAGAGGTACAGTGATTACCAGATGAGTCTGAAACAATATGCAGTGGTTCAGTGATTACCAGACGATTCTGAAACAATATGTAGTGGTGCAGTGATTACCAGATGATTCTGAAACAATATGTAGAGGTACAGTGATTACCAGATGATTCTGAAACAATATGTAGTGGTACAGTGATTACCAGATGATTCTGAAACAATATGAAGTGGTACAGTGATTACCAGATGGATCTGAAACAATATGAAGTGGTACAGTGATTGCCAGATGGATCAAAAACAATATGAAGTGGTACAGTGATTACCAGATGAGTCTGAAACAATATGCAGTGGTACAGTGATTACCAGATGAGTCTGAAACAATATGTAGAGGTACAGTGATTACCAGATGATTCTGAAACAATATGTAGTGGTACAGTGATTACCAGATGAGTCTGAAACAATATGTAGTGGTTCAGTGATTACTAGATGAGTCTGAAACAATATGCAGTGGTATAATGATTACCAGATGGATCTTAAACAATATGAAGTGGTACACTGTTTGAGATATGAAGGATTCCTAGTATGTGACTGTTGATGTTATATGAAACTGTGCAACAGCTCATTTTCTTGAGCTAGCGCTGTTCTGCAGAGAAAGGAAAACCTATCAAACTCAGGCCAGTCTGTTAAAAGACACACATAAATGCAGACAAAATGTAAAACGGTTTTCCACTGAAAGTGCACAGCAACAAAGGTGACATCAACGACAGACACAGGTGATGGCTAATGGCTATATACATAAAAATGGCAAAACTTTTTTATGTGCTAGTTAAGTAATATATTACTCTTACATTTGAAACAATTTGAGTTCAAGGGAAGTGCAATGCAATAATTTTTGGGAAAAATGTAAACAGTATCCAACTATTGGCAACTAAGTACATCTGTAAGTGTCACTGAGTATTTAAGTTCACTGAAATAATGTCTTTAGTCAAAACAATAAGAAAAGCTATACTTTGTGAACCAAAACGAGAATGCCAGCGTGTACTTCTCTGACTCTAGGTGGCCAATGTCTGACATGTTATCACTCAATATTGTTTACCCACTTTCCAGTTAAAGTGACCTTTCTGGACCAACTCCAAAGTGTCTCAGTTCATACCATAGAAAGAAACATGTAGAGACAAGTCTAATTGTTAAAATAGGCTTAAATCAACAGATTAAAAACAAATAATAATTACATTATGCAAAATTTGCTACAATTTGCAATTATAATGAGTAGCCTTATATGCACCTAGGTTCTTCTCTGTTAAAACATGGATGACAAATGGAGTCAAGACTGGTACATCTTGTATAATCTGAACCATATTCAATATTGACACAAACTCAAGTACCTAGAGATACAGAATTCCACTACAATCAGGACAGTGTGAATGGCTGCCTACTGCACCAAATCAACCCCAAATTTTGGTTCAACTGGGTGCATCTGAAGCATAAAACTACTAGAAACCACCCCCACCCCTCCTCACCCTGTCCAATCCAGGCCATCCTGCTGCCTCAAGAGTAACAAGACAGTCTAATCAAGCTGTTAATGCTTGTCCCTATTGCGGGGTCACTGGCTAAATTCTAGAGCGTGAAATTACATATTAATTTTACTCCTGCCTCCACTGAACAAATAAACCGACTTGTTTTCTCTGCCTATAATTGCACAATTTCCTAAAATTGTACAATTTCAAATAATGAATTTGAAACAATTTTCATTTTCATTTAGTTTTTAAAATTTTGATACAAATGGCTAGCAACTGCTTATCAACTTTCTGAAATAAAAAAAAATTAATAAAAAATAAAAAAAAAAAAAAAACTTTCTGAAATAAGACATGCAGCTGTTTATGTATCTTAGCATGGTACATAATGTATTCCTCACAAGTCTTGGTGCATGTTTCTCTAGAGGGAGTTTGAGGTAACCTAAATGGAGTACATGAATTGGAGATATATTAACAATTAACCTAAGCAGGGGACACGGATTGGTGACTCATTAACCTGATGGAAGATAAGCAATGATAACAACTTCCATATTCTATATATCTACCAGTCTTCAGTGTTCAAAGTGTAGTGTATGATAGTGTATGATATATGTAAAGCTCTTCATTATCAATTAACATATGTCGTTACTGTAATTAAAAAATGTCTACAATTACTAATATTATAGATTCCATATAATATTGCTAACCCCCACCCCCCCTCGGCTAATAAAAAATTTTCTGTCTTGGGTGAAGCAATATCAAAGCATTATTCAGTAATTATTCTAATCAACTCAAATTTCACTAAGTTTTAAGATGTTACAATGCCGGAAACACTTTTCCCCTCTACACACTGTCATGTCTGTATTCTGAAATAATAAATTACCCTAGTTGAAGTGTGGGACACCTCCTTACCAATATAAGAGCATATAGAATATGAATATTCTCAAACACAAGCCGAAAAAACTTTCATATT